ATCAAAATATAATTTTTAAAAATAGACTAGGAAAGGATAAAACATTTCATATTATTTCAAAACTCTTTGTTTTTGTTATATAGAGAACTACATGTGTCTGTGTATGTGTATATATGAGTGTGTATAGAACTGGGTTACAATGTAAAGTGTAGATTGCCATTAAAAAGTGTTTTAAAAACTTCATTTTGGATATTTGAATGTTTGTAATAATTCTGAACCTCAAATTTCCCCTCTGCAAAATGGGGTTAAAAATCACTATTATAAAGGTCTATTCTGAGGATTAAGAGCAGTAATACAAGCAAAATACCTTGAATAGCACCTTATTTACATGGAAGACAAGCAAAAAATGTTGCTTTTTACCAAAACTAATCCATTTAAAATGTAATTGATTAGGAAAAAGCTTACATGGGATTTTATCAAGACTTTAATGAAACTGATTTTTAAAACACTTTCTTATTTGAAAGAATTATTTTAAAAATTAACCAGTAAGGGCATTGCTAAATAAATTCACTTTATTGATTTTTCTTTGAGATCATTGCTTTTCAATTCAATTTATTTTTTTAAATTTACCCCTCTATTTACTCAAGTAATATTTTTAGAATTTGGAATGTGTCCAAAGAAACAGAAACATAAAAGAAATCTTTAGGGAATCCAAACATGTCCTGGGAGGAACAGTTAAAGAATCTGCTGAAAGCCTACCAAAATCTATCAAAAGAATAGGTAAGATGATACTGATTTCCTATATTAAAAGGATTTCCTGGTCGGGTTTGGTGGCTCAGCCTGTAATCCCAGCACCTGGGGAGGCTGAGGCAAGTGGATTACCTGAGCCTGTGGGTTTGAGACCAGCCCAGGCAACTCGGCGAGACCTCGTCTCTACAATAAATCAAAAATTAGCTGGGCATGGTAGCGTGTGCCTGTAGTTCCAGTTACTTGGAAGGCTGAGGTGGAAGGATCGCCAGAGCCCAGAAGGTTGTCGCTGTGGTGGCCGTGAGCATACCACTGCACTCCAGCCTGGGTGATGGAGTGAGACTCCTACTCAAAAAAAAAAAAAGATTTCTTCATGCCAGAAAGATCAGATGCTGTCTTGGCAGTAGGAGAATCAAGACCAGTTTCTTGGAAATTATGGGACAATAGATTTCCACTAAAAATAAGAAACAAAGAATTAAACCTGAGACTTTTCCTAAAACATCATAGCCTCCCCAGTGATGGTGGGATGGTTGGATATGATATCATTTGAACTGTCTTTTACTTTAAAGATTCTGTGAGTTTTTAGCCTGCCTTATGTTAGTCAGGCATCCTTATAGGCCATATATGACACTTTTGTTTGATGCTGAGGAGTCCCATGTGGCTCATGCAAATAAGATACGGTTTTTGCATAAATGGATCTTAAAACTGAGTCCGGAAAGAGAAGCTGAGAATCTTGCATATTTTTTCTGTGCAAGAATCCATGAATGTATCAGGTCAGTTCCCGTCTATACATAAGCATTTTGCTTATCCTTGATCTTACCTTGAATGTCTTCCTTTTTTCGCTAATTGCACTTGTCTTGAGTGTAAAAGTGGGAACAAAAGTAGCAATCTGTCCAATTGGTTATTTTTAGTGGTTCTACTGGGTGTAACACTTGGTACAAATCTATATAAGACTGTGAAATATGAGCCTAGAAGGAAGAAGAGAACTGGGAGGAGAACTGACACTGGCTGGAAGGGAAGAGGCTCTTTAGATAAAAGGTGATCAGTATCAACAAGAATCAAAGCAGAAGGGGGTATGAGGATGACAGGGGAGGATTCCCACCCCCCGCCCCCCACCCCCGTAGCCTTTAAGAATGCTTTGCGGTCGGGACCGGTGGCTCAGCCTGTGTTCCCGCGCTTTGGGAGGCTGAGTGGATTGCCTGAGCCCGCGGGTTC